GCCTCCCCATGCCTTCCCCAGCCTGTCCAAGGGCCACCTTGCCTGGGCTCCCTGCAGCCACGGGAATGCATGGGGTGTGTGGCCTAACATGCTAATGGGCCATGCTGTCAGGGGGCGTGGCCTATTATGCTAATGCGTTCCGGCTGGGCTTTTTCTACAAAAAGAGCCCTGCCTCCCCATATGGATGGGAATCATTGACAGTGATCAGAGGTCATTTCGGGGGGGAACGCAGGGGAACTCAGGAGAAGTGTAGGGGGCGGGGCACATGACGAAGCCCCTCCCCCTACTTCCGGCCACCCCGCTTCCAGCCCTCATTCAGCCACGAGGAGGCAGGAGAAGAGGGAGGGTAAGTTGCTTCCTCCCCGCCTCTCCCCACCCCTGCCTGCCTGGGGCCAGGGAGGGCCTTGGCGGGGCTTCCTCACATTCCCGCTGGCCTTGCAGGTCCACCGCCGGGCCCCTGATGTCAGGGGGTGTGGCATATGCTAATGAGTTATGCTAATGAGTTCCCCTAGCTCTTTTTCTACGAAATGACCCCTGGCAGTGATCAATACTACTATTTACACAGGTGGGATCAGTTGCATAATATCCGACTCCAAGAGGAACAATTCTAAGCTTGATGATTACAAATGTGTAATCACAACACTTTCTGAACATCTATCATGGAGTCATTGACAACTATGAAAGATGGTCTCAGCGACATAAGGGTGTAAAGAATCGGTCCAATTAAATCACCATAGGTTTATTTTTTCTATTTGGAATCCTTTCTTGTAAAAGAAATTAGGCAAGTATCTTAGAGCCGTTAGGCTCTTGAGACATTTTTGGGAAAGTATCTGTCAGAAAAAAGATTTGCTGCTGTTAAAATAATCCTGAACTCATTGTTGAGCACATTGTATGTGGCACGATTTATTAGGCCATTTTGCCCTTTTCCCATTGCCCTTGCTGGGTTAATTCCATTGTCAACCAAACTAATGTCGGTCAAATCTATCTTAGAAGGTTTGCCATTTTGGCTGTTATGCATGACTTGTACCACACTTCATGAAACTAAAGAGGGTCTTTGTTTCCTTTTCTCCAAATTATAACCCTACTCACACAATACCATCCCACTCCAAGCAGATGAACTGATTATAGCAAGTAGGTCTTGGGAGAAGACTGAGTTGCTGCCCTGTTGCCTCTGAATGCATGATGCTTGATGGAATACTACCAGAATAATTTTCAACTCTGTTCTTCAGTCAGAAAAAGTGTTATTTAGCTTTCATATTTGATTATTAATGCGTCTGGAACAAATGGTAGGGATGAAAACTATCCAAGTGAACAGAAATATTGAAGCAATATGTAACTTAATATATAACTCAGTACTGTAACTCAAATTTCAGATTCTGAGAATCATATGGAGCAGTTATTCCTATGTTCAGGGACTTTTTCATATAGGACCAAGGGTTGAGTCTCAGCGGGTGTGGTCAGAGGGCGTGCTGAGAGCGGGTTAAACTGCTCTGGTTCTAACCGGATTATATTTGATCTGGATAATCACAATCACACTTACCTCTCTTATCCCCCCCTCACTGTGCAGTCACATTGCTTCCTGGCGTCTACACTACCAGCACACGGGAGCATGTGTCGGCGGGTTTTTTATTTTTTCTCAGTTGGCGCATGGACATAGGTGCTCATCCATAGAATGGGGGGCGAAACTACCATGGCGTATGTGTAGAACCACCAGGGTGAATCAATCCAACCCCTCCAACATAAGACTTCCCTTTAAACATTTGACCTGAAAATGGCCTTAAGCATTTGACCTGAAAATGTCCTCCATGAGATCCCAAACTCATCTAAACTCTAAAACATTTAAATGTCAGTTTTCTAAACACAGTAGCAGAGCTTTGCCAATATGCGCACCGCCAATGCTTTAAAAAATGGCGAGTGAAAAGCAGAAGTCTCGGGCAGCTTTCGCGTGGGGAGGGGTTTTAAACCGGAAGTGGCTTGACACCGGAGGAGCGATCACACAGGGGGGAAATGCGGCTTTAAACGGGAGAGCTGAGAAAACACCACTTTGGAATTTGGTAACAAAATACTCTGGGTTAAAGTGGTTTTGAGCCAGAAACCAACGGCTGGGGATGGGAGGCAGATGTTGACTGTGATCATGCGTATAAAATCCGTTGTTGAACTGTCACGACTGGCTGAACTGTCGCGACACCAAATCAAACGGCGCGACTGAACGCACCCAGCTTGGGGGAGGCTAGACAAAATGACATCCTGAGCCATCCTACCCATTTGTTCCATTGTTTCTGCTGGTCCTTGACCTGCATTATGACATCATTTTAAACTCCCGCCCCTTGAATCCAACCGTCCAAGCTGTCAGTACTCTGCCCAGTGCTTT